GCCAATAACACCTAAACTTACTTTTTTTTCAAAAACTATATTTTCAAATAATACTATTCAATCCTCGCTTTCTTAGTAAATGAATCAATTTTTTTTGGCACATCCGGTGTATCCGGAAATGCTACCAAATTTAGTTTTTCAAATGAAACACCTATGTTTTTTTGCTCGAAACAATAATAATTGACATGAAAAATACGGTAAACCACTATTTATTACATTTTACTTTACATAATGCACTCAGAAAACAATTTAGGTTTTTGAATTTTATTGCAAATTTTGCAACGTAGGCGGATTTTACTTGTCAAGGTATTCATGCAAAAAGCAATATGCTTGGATACCGTTTAATTGTTAGTTTGACAAAGTCTAATTTGTCCAATAAATCTTATTGAGATCTTTAATAATGGATGATATAAATTACGACGATTTGGTAGATCAGCTTGAAGTGTTTTTTAAGTCCAATAAAAATAGAGCGGAAGCTGAAAGACAGTATAGAGAAAAATACTCAAATAAAGTTTACCCAAATCGTTGGAAATTTTGTCAAATTGAAAAACAACTGAGACGAATAGGATCGCTTCTTAAAAATAAAAAACCTGTGGTTCTTTGTGAAGAACAAGAAAATAGAAATCTGAATATTATCAGTCGAATTAAATCCAATCCAATCCAATCCATAAGAGAACTCGCTCATCAACTGACAAATTAGATTTGTCAAACCAACAATTTAACTGTATCCAAGCATTTTTTTTATTCAGACCTTTCCTTTAAAATTAAAAATCAGGCTACGCGACCAATTTCCTTATAAAATTCTAAGATTTTAGATGTTCTGTCATTGTATTGTATACGCAAAATGTAATAAATAGTGGTTTACAGTATTTTTCATGTCAATTATTATTGTTTGGAGGAAAAAAAACATAGGTGTTCCATTTGAAAAACTAAATTTGGTAGCATTTCCGGCAACACCGGATGTGCTAAAAAAATTTGAAACATTTATTAAGAAAGCCAAGAATGAATATTATTACTTAAATAATTACTTTTTGAAAAAAAGAAGTAAGTTTAGGTGTTATCTGAAGGGGCGACTTGGACCGAACGCCCCTGTATATAAATTACCTATAAATTACGATATACAGTATGTCCGCGGATTGAGTTTACAAGAAGAAAAAAATTTTCAAATTTGATTTTATGCCAAAACTGCAAAGGAAAAACTTTTTGTGCTTTACCTGAAACGAGCAAATCTGTAAGTAAAACTTCATTATTCTAACTCAATAGAAAGAGAAGTTCATTTTTCACTTGATTTTGAACTCTGCTTTTTAAGTCATATCACATTGGCGTTTGTATTATTTTGACAATGATGTCATTTTAAGAAATGAATTTACACAAATATAGTTATTTATTGTAAGAGTGTGTTAGGTAGCGTTTTATCCACGCAAGAATGTTTAACCGCGAGAACGTCAGTTCGAGTTTATTCCAAACTTAATTAAAAATTAAACTGACATTTAAACGTCACGCCAAATGTGCTTTCGGTTAAACGTAGTAAGCTGTTACGCGGAGCGCTGGTTACTAACTTTACACACTAGTGGATAAAGTGCTACTTTATATTATAAGCATCTAAAGTGTGGAATAAGTCTCTTTATAGAGTGATTGTGGATAAAATAATAAAAATGTTTGTGAAAAACATAATTTTAATAAATAATAACTCAAAGAAACAGCTTTAAGATAAAAACCAAAGTCATTTAAAAAAAAACTATCATTATTTGATTAATAAATTAATTGTTAAAGTAACATATAGTTGTCAAATAAATAAAACCGCCAGTGTGTTAGGACTTGAAAAGCAGAGAAAAATTATTAAGTCGAAAATCAAGAGGAAAAATTAACTTTTCTTTTCACTGAATCAGAATAATAAAGTTTTAAGTACAAATTTACTCGTTTTAGGTGAAGCAAAAAATGTTTTTCCTTTGCAGTTTTGGCGTAAAATTAAAGATAAAAAATTTTTTCCTCTTGTAAACTCAAACCGGAGACATACTGTATTTTATAGAAGAGCGGTCTATTTTAGTTTATTAAATTCTCGCTTTTTAACGGGTAGCTTGACTTTACACTACGACCTCGATTTTTAAACTGTCTATGCAACTTTTGTTGTCTTACATAACACTTGCTTTTACATAATTTTTTTTTTTTGAGTGGACTTAAATGTTGTGATCCAAATCTAAACTCAGTACTCTTCTTCCTGTCATTATATTCTTATTGTTATATGATATTGAAGGAAAACAATTTTGTATTTATTTTTTACATACCGACTTACCTCAAACATTCGATTATTATTGCTCCACTGTCATATGTGACGAGAGAAATTTTGCAATAAATGTTTTTTTTTTGTTATTTTTTAATTAGGTATACTATTTTTTAGGCACAGTGGTTTGTACGTTTCTAATTTATTTGTTTTTGACAGCGATTTTGTAATAGAAATCATATGAAAAAAAAATTATTATTATTAATTATGTAATTAGTGAAAAAAATAACTACTTTTGAGGTAATAAGTATTTACGTATACTTTGACAAATATTTGCTGAAATGATAAATAACATACGCGTAAATTATAGGTATGGATAATCCCTTGCTCCAGTGATATCATCAAAAGACATCGATTCTTACATTTGAAAATATTTATGTTGTAATTTGATTTGATTTTGTTTCAAAACAAAAATTGTGTCAGATTTTTGTGACACATGTTAAAAAAATACGTTTGTTTGTTTTGAAAATAATAATAATAACGAAAACATTTTTTTTTAATTTTCATTTGTATAATTTTTCAATTAAAATTATGGTTTTTTATAATAATAATTTAGTTTTGATAATTTACAAGCAAATTGCCATAAATACAGGGTGTTACGTTTTTATTCTTATAAATTTAAACAGGTGATAGAATATTTAATTTTAAGATAAAAGTTTCCTATAAACATGTAGGTATCAAAAAATATTAAATAAGGGAGCTACATCCCTTAAAAGAAGTACATCTTTTAATGGATTTTTTCCAATATTTCAGCAACTATTGTAGATAAAATTACAGAATTTGGTACAACTGATAACCTTTATACCCCAAACGAATTCAAAGATAAAATGTCAAAATTTTTACTCAGGGACGTCTTAAACTGGGTAGGTTCAGGGTAAAAAGTACCCTAACTGTTTTGGCTGTTGGTTCTTGCAAGTTGCAGCTACAAAATTTCTAAATTTTATAGTTTTTCACAAAAAGAGATCTCTTGCGTTATTTCGATACAATTACCGTTTTTGAGTAAAATCAGTTTACATTATGTGGTACAGACCATTATAAAGAGAATAAAAATTAAAAGTTAAATTCGTCTTACCCTTTAAGACGCCAGTGATTAAAAATTTTGCCAACTGATCTTTGAATTCGTTCAGCTGTTTAATGGTTATCAGCTGTATCAATTTTTGTAATTTTATTCATTCTGAAATAGTAGGAAAACCTCACTAAAAACGTATCTCTTTCAGGGGGTCTAGCTCGCTTACATAACATTTTTTGATACATGTTCATAGGAAACTTTTATCTTAAAATTGTATATTCCATAACTTGTTTAAATTTGTAACAATTAAAACGGAACAACCTGTATGTTTAAAATGCAACACTATTTTAATTTAGTTTCAACTATGCTAAATGCTAATTAGGGCAACAAACGTGAAAATATTATTAAAAACATGATTTATTAATTATAGCTTAAAATATGGAATCTGTTATTTTTGAATAACAAAAACTGATATGAATTAATTAACAATATTAATGTTAATTTGGTAAACAGTATGTTTGTACAAGATCAATTAGATAAAATTACTTACGAAGCTACAAGATATAATATGCTTTGACATCAATTCCGATATCAATTAAATTATAAAATTGAATTAAACAATGAGTTTAATTTTTTATAAGTCAAAGCAAATACGTAGATTTTATATTTAGCTAACTTTTTAATTTTCTGTTTAAGCCAATATTGTTTAAATAAATATTGTGTTTTTCAGAATACAAATTTCATTTTGTACTTGTACTTTATTTAATGCCAAATTGTATAAGATTTGTTTTTTTTTATATAAAATAAATAATTGTTATCCGAGCTTTGTGTTGTGTTAATCAAGTTTATGTGCTTATTAGTCATCATCACTACTCTACACTATTCATCATTACTCATCACTCATCAGGCTTATCTTTTAAAAATTAAATTAATACTTTATAACATTATTTTTTTATAATTTTCTTTAAGATAATTAATAAAAAAGTTTAATTTTTGTTTTGTAGCTCATTTAATTGATTAAGAAATTAGTAGTAACAAATTATAGGATAGGACACTGTGTCAATTTTAAAACTTGCAAACGGCAATATCTGAATATCTCTCAACTTAAAAAGTTATTGAGAATCACTCGAAACTGTTTTGGTGGTGCCTAGGGGAATCAAAATGACATGGTAAGTGACGCACCTCCACCCACCTTTGAATATAATAAAAAAAATCAAAATTTAAAGTCTCCTTTTTGAATAACTGGAATAACGGTTTTACTAAATAGGCTGTAGTGAAAAGTGCTTCTTATTAGCTTTACAACGATGTATCACAAGGGACGTGCCATTTAAAATTTTCAACTTGGTGTGTCTGTGGCTTCAAGGATGGGTACTTACCATGTCATTTTGATTCGCCCTAAAAACCACCCAAAACGGTTTTGAGTGATTCTCAATAACTTTTTCAGTTCTAGAAATATTGCCGATTGCAAGTTTTAAAATTGATACCCTGTGACCCTGTATATCTATGAATCGGTGTTTTCACAAAAAAATATGACGCATATCTAAATTCGGCTTAATTTTAATAAACATTAGTTATTTAATTGTTATAAAGAGGTTTGCAATGAGGAGGGCCTCTGGCCAAAGGGCTCAGAGACCATAAACTTCAAATAAAGAAAATAAATAGTAGAATGACAATTTTTTACTTTTTTTATTATTAAATGTAATACAGTTAACCAAATTAATTAATTTCTACTGTTTAAAGCTATTTTTACACCGTTTTCAGATTTCAGAACCGATTCAGCAGTCAACTGTATCGTGTGTGTAGGAGTTGCTGGTTGTAATTCAAAATTCCTCAGCATTTTTGAAATAGTACTTTTCATTTCCAAAATTGCAAACTTTTGTCCTGCGAATCCATAAATTTGCAACAGTTTAATTTTTTAAATAAGTATTAATAATTAATAATGTTAGTGTTTTTCTTTTGTTTTTCCTCTTTTGTCAAATGTATTTCACTATTACTCAAAACTATTTAATTTAATATACCTATTAATGTCAAAGCGACGTAGGTGGGAAATAGTTTTGAGAAATAGTGAAATACATTTGACAAGAAAGGAAAACCAAAAAAAAACACTGTAATACTAACCAATGCAGTTTCGTGGTCCAGCACTGAACGGAATGTAAGCATATGGCAATTTTCCATCTACAATTTCAAACCTGTTGGGGTCAAATTTTTCCGGATCTTTAAAATATTTTGGATCTCGGTGTATTCCATAAGCAAAAATGTTAATGGTTACTCCTTCGGGTATAAAGATATTTTCTGCAATTTAATCAAGTTATTTGCTGTGAAAATAAAACCACAAAAACTTTATACCGTATTGTACGGGTTCTGAAGTTTTTCTAGCAAAAATGGGAACTGGTGGATACAATCGTAAAGTTTCTTTTATGACAAGTTCTAAGTATTTCATATTTTGTAGATCTGAATATGTAACTGAAGGATTTTTGTTGTCACCGAAAAGAGCTATTTGCTCTTCATATGCATTTGCCTTCAATATAGAACAAAATATTAAAAATATTAAATATTATTAAAATCATACTTGAACGTCAGCATTATTTGCTAAACAATAAAACGCAAAACTAATTGCCGAAGCAGTGGTATCATGGCCCTAAAAATATTAATGCAGGACTTGTATTTTACTGATTTTTTGACATACTTCGAACATGAAAGTATCAACTTCTTCCCGTATTTCCTCCTGAGTTAGAGGCCTACCATCAACAGTGGCTTGCAATAACAAATCTAAAAATGCCTTTTTCTTTCTTCCAAACAATGTTTCATTGTTGTCAGCTTTAGAATTTGCATTTGTTACAGTAATTGCTTTAGTTTTGTTTTGCAGTTTTTGACGCCTCTTACTTATTACGCTGTTAGTTTGATTGTGTAATATGTTCAAAGATTTGTTTTGTATGTAGTAATTTTTAGTAAGAGGAAATGTAACATCATTCATTTCCAAAATATGAAATGGTCTCTCCATTGTTACTTTGCACATAGCTTTAACACTCCTAACATAATCTGAATTGTCATCAAACTGAGCGTTTATTGATATACCCATTGCACTTTCTACAAAATAATGTTAAATTTTTTTTTATAAAAGAAACATTTTTTACCACAAATGATATCGAGTGTACATAAATTAACAAAGGGATATATATCAATACTTTTTTTGCCAACTTCTTTTTGCAACTTTTGTATAAATCTGTTACCTCCAGACTCAAAAACTTCAATAAATTGTTTTAAAATTTGGAAATGAAAAGCTGGTGTTATAATTTTTCGATGCTTTTTCCACTTTGTACCTTAAATACCTAATTTGAAGAAAAATTAATATCTCACGAAAAACGTACCTACCACCACTGGTCAGTAAACCAGTTCCCAACCAAGGTCGTAAATAAAGATAATCTTCAGACTTATTTAAAATTTTCTTACTACTTAAAACACATTTCAGGATCTTGTAATCAGAGGCTACTATAAGTTTTCGTACTGGTCCTAAATGTATCTTATATAAGCCATTGAATTGCATGGAATATTTGTGCAATACACCTAAAATGTCTTAAAAAAATTATGATAATTTGTTTTGTTTATTGTTTAGTGTATTTACCTTTTGTTGCACCAACTTCAAGAACATTCCCAAAAAAAAATAATGGACGTGGTCCTGGAATAGTCGTGTAATAGTCATTATTTTTTCGTACTAAACGTATAAACCAAATTAAAAAAACTAGTGTCGTTATCGCGAAAACTACTAGTGCTAGCGCTTCCATCCCGTGTACTTGTTGAAAAAATACTGATAGCATTTATCAAATCAATGCTAATTGTAAACAATAACATTTTGTGAATGAAGTTGTTTTTATTTTTTTTTGGTACACGCTCCGCAAAATGATACTTTAGCGAACTCATTTGAGTCCGCAAAATGCTATTTTAGCGGCCTAGTACTTTTTGTCCATTTTAGCGGACTGAAAGGTAACTTAGCAACACATTAGAAACATGATTTTATTGCAAAATTAACAATAAATTTACATTGAGAAATGGAAATGAAAATTACAGTTTTTGGCATTTTTAAACTATTTTCAGAAAAAGAAAGACCTTTTTCAGTTAGGTTTTTCAGATTTGAAGTGATGGATTTGTTTGAAGATTCTACTGACGTCGATGTTGATGCAACCACGTCAACAGAATTCGCCACAGATGAAATTGATGCACCTGATTCTTTTTGTCCCATGATCAAAGCTGCCACTTTCTTCACTGCAGGATGCAAACTCCGTAGTGCATACCTTTTCGTCCAGATAGGCCAACATCACATCTTCATTCACGAGAGTCACGCCATTTGCCTGCTTCCAATCACGAAACGAAGCATATTCTTTTTTATACTGGGCTTTAGACTTCGCCGGAAGCAAATCCGAAACAATTATTTTTGCTTTTTCGGAAATGAACGCCGAAACTTCACACATTTTCAACACAACCGTTTTTTCGATAAACAACTGGTTGCCATAATAACGTCATGACACCTACTACGTTTTCACACAGTTTCCACATTTTACGATTCAGAATTCAAATAATTCACATTTTCAGAAGACATTTTGCAGAGCTGATACCAAAAAATTATGTATGCACCACGTACGCAAAATGTTTTAGGGGACACATCTCGGCTCCTACGTCGCCTCGTCATTAATTACGATTCGTCCCCTAAAACAACATTTTGCGTACTTGATACATAAAATACTATTATCGTATCATCGTTTATTATGTCTCTATAATTGCAAATATTTCTGTACTATTATATGGGTCATAATATCATAGAAATCCCATAACACGGTAGTTACACATAATATATTAGTTACTGTCTGATATGATGATTTATTGCAATAATTTATTAGAACTGATAACATTAATTTCAATATTTTTACAATTATGAAAACTGAAAGAGACTTTCCCATCCATCTTGACTGCCGCATCTCTTGTAGCGCTCCCAGATAATTCAGCACACATTTTCATTGATTCTTTAGTACCAAAAACACTTGCCGTAGATACAAGCATGGTAGCTGCACTTCTCCTAATGCAGTGGCAGGTGTACATAGCTAGATTTTCGAGTTTGAGATATGTAGCATTTTTTTCAGGAATTTTAGAAAAAAAATTAACACCACATGGTTGAATAGTACACTTTCCATTTCTGTATGATACAAAGAATCTTCTAGGCGTAACATGAGCCGGCCGTAACGCTGCATATTTTTTAATTAAAATTACAGGATTGACAAAAAATCTTTTTTTATGAGTTTTCGAATCAGGAACAGTAATAACTACGTTATTCTCTAAAATTTCAACGTCATCGGTAGACATCTTTAGTAATTCATTGGTTCTGCAAGCTCCAGGTTCATCTGGAGCTGTGCGCTAAAATTCATCAACTTGTTCCTTCGTCAGTACTGAAATTTTTTTATGCCGGTATCCAACATTCTTTTCTTTTTGATAAATTTGGTCAAAGAACCATATTTGTCAATTTCGATTTTTTCTTTTAGTTCCAAACAAGCTCGCAGAATAGAATATTTCGGCCACAATGATGAAGGAGAATAGGTACTCATTTGAGCATAACGGTTTCTCCAGCACCTCGAACCTGTTCCTTGTTTCGCCACTCACAAAAAACACAATATTCTTTTTCGTATTGAATTTTTGACTTGTCTGGCAACAAATCCATTTTCACACTTTCTGCTGACTTAAAAATTAAAATACGTGCGAGAATACCAAAATCTTCCATTACTTTTACCAAGCACGACCAAACGTGGCAAAACCTTTGACAATTTTTTTTAATTCCATGTAAACAAAATCAGTGTTTTGTTTTGCTTGCTTCGATGATACGTTAACGCTTTTTTGAAATCAATTTAGTATGATCAAAATTCACATTTTTAGTAGTAAATAATAATATTATTAATTATTAATTATTAATTATTAATTATTAATTATTAATTATTAATTATTAATTATTAATTATTAATTATTAATTATTAATTATTAATTA